TCAACGCTCTCATTTAATACACCACAATTGTCCTGTGACTTTTTATTCTGTTGCTTTGGTTGCTTTGTTCATTTTTTTTCTTTTTTATTTCTTTTTTTTTGTCTGTCTGTATTATTTACCAGGTTGGTATGGGGGAACAAAATATGCCCATGACCTCCACTTTTTCTTCATCACCTAAATTTTATTTTTATGCTTTGTTATTTTTGTTCTACATATAGTAATTTGCTCATTTATTGGAATTTTGTGAGTACTTTAGTTTATTATTATTTTATAATTATGTGCATGTGTGCACCTGCAGGTGGCCAAAAGCATAATCTCAGTGGATATGCAGTTACATGTGGTTGTGAGCCAATTAATGTGGGTGATTGAAAACACACTCCTATCCTAAACCATGCACTCTAAATCACTGTGCCATCTCTTCAGTCACCAAATTTTACATACTAAAAACGTTACTCAAGATAGAGCAGTAATAATAGCAATATACTTTCTATTTTTGAGGAAATAATGATGTATATATAAATGTTAAGTTTATTTGATTGTTGTAGACATGTTATTAATTTAATATTTTATTTAATTACATTATTAGCAATGTATGGACAGATGCATATTGTTTTAATTACTTAACTATGCATATCGATGTCTATCATGTTTAGATTGCCAAGAACTTTTAAGCCAAAGGAAGGAGACTTCTATGAATGTTGCAATGTAGTTGACTTTTAAGTAGAATTTTTTTTCTATTGGCAACAAATGGAACATGAAGAAGAAATACTTGTGTGGGAGGAGAGGGAAGTGGCTGTTGAGATTGTGCAAGAAAGAAAAAGTTTATAGACAAATAGAAAAGATTGTGCAACAGAGAATGGTTTTGTAGACAAATATGAGATTTGTTATGAATTCTCTTGGACTCAAAAGTCTTATGCATTATCTTCTTTATATCTTTAAAATAACATTTCTCCATTAGAGAATCAACAATGCATTATATTGGTTTTTAATAATTTTATTTATGTTACTTTTAGTATACTTTTAGTATAAAGGACATAGCTTTAATGAACATGTAACAATTTTTATGCAATAAGATTTTCAAATATAGTTTATTTGTAACTCAGAGCAAATAATATACAGAATCTGATGAGCACTCTTGAATCAGTAAAAAAAAAATACTCTTTATATTGGGTGTTATTCTTAATGACTCCACAACTTGAACTTCCTATTTATAATAAAATCAAATTCTAGATTTTATGTATAATTATATCTATCAAGAGGACATGCGATAATAATCTCAAACATCCCTACACCTATCAATAGCTTATATTTGAAAATAATTTCTAACTATTGTGAAGAATCTTTCAGAAATATTGTCAATAAATTATCTAATTGTTCTTCTTAAAAATATATTAACTAATTTCTTGTATTTCTTCCATTTTAACAATTTATGAGTGGTGCTCCTGATAGTGCAGTTAATTTTAGATCATTGATTTTTAGGCAGATATTTTGTGCTTTAACATGTTTACTTATCTTTACATACAATTTCAGTTTTCTTGCCATAATTTCATCCAAATCAATCAATTAATAAAACCAACTAGTACCACGGTGAATGTTTGTCCAGTATTATCTGGTAACAAGTCATATCACACAATGGTGATAATAAAATAAATTCACTGCTTCATCTAGCCAAACAAGTTGACTTAATGAATTATTTTGTAAGCAATTGTTTTTTTTATAAACATGAGCACCCTAAGAGATGCATCAACTCATTCAGACTACATGGTACCCTGCTAAAGGAGCATAAATAGATCCCTGATGGCCAGTAGCCACTGTAATTGTTACACATGATTAACTTACACATGAAGTAAGACTCAGTTTTCTATTCACTAGTAAGGAGATGCAAGGTATGTGTGTGTGTGTGTGTGTGTGTGTGTGTATATATATATATATATATATATAAAATCTGTATATATATACTGATTAAAATATGAGTTTAAATAAAATTTACTAATTCCTCAATAATACTGTGGTTTTTAAAAATGCAAGGGTAAATAATGGCATATGAGAGACCGTCTAACAGAAATTATATTTCTACTTAATCAGATGAAGTGTTGTGGGAAGCACCACTACCTTCATATTGATTCAAAGAGCATTGGGTAATAGAAAGAAAGAGTCAATCTATTTATTTTATCTTCACAGAACATTTTCTCTTTACAGCTTTCCACCCAGTTCAAAGACCAGAATCCTTGTCTATAGTGAGGTTCCCCTTAGTCTGTCTTAATAGGGAGGTAGCTCACTTCTTGTCAGCACCATTATTTGACCCTGCCTTAGTGTGGAAGATTGGGGATGGGGTAGGAGGTCAGAGGATGAATGTAGTCTATTCAGCCATGAAGGATTTTATATATAATCATTTGACAAAAATAGACACAGCGCAATGACATTTCATTTTGTGAATGTTCTTAATCAAGAAGGAAGCTTATTGAAAAATGAAAATCTTTTCTATATGAAATAGCACATTTTAAAAAATTAATAAAATTACAAGCAATGTGAAAAATATCTTCTAAAAACGAATATCTCTGACATTTATTTTTACATCTATTACAATTAAATGCAAATTTTACTTGAATCTTTCTGTGTTGTTCATATAATTCTGTAACAGTCCACATTTTAGATAGACAAGCATTCATGTCCAGTTCGCTGTCTCTTTATGAAATTACCAATTAAACTTTCTTTAAAATATTCAGAAAAGTAATCTATAGAAGGGTGATAATTTATCATTAATTTTCATGATAATTTTGGTATTCTCTAAATTTGTCAAAACCTCTAATCATCCCAATATTACAAATAACCATTTATTACTGATGAAAAATTTGACCATACTTTGTAACTTTGTCCTGGAGAACAAACTCAATTTATCCAACTTTAACTTTGGGTACCAGTAAGTTTATACTTGCATTTTTAGTATATTAATACATATTCAAATTAACAGTTTTATTTGGGGATACTTAATGGTGCTTTTTAGGTTTTGGGATGGCAGGATAATATGCCCAAGCACTAAGTTAAGCTAATTGGAGCAAATAATAAGGTTCAGATGTTTCCTATTTACTCTAGGTTAAAAAAATCATTAAAAGGAATGTAAAATTCACTAAGAGAAGGAAAAAAATTACTCTAACAGGTTAAGAAACATCTCCACTAGGCTCTTTCATTTGAATGTGAATATTTGAATATGAATATTTGTAAGGCCATAGTTTAGCATAACATGCTTCAGTAGAATAGCACTTTATTTTGGGGGATGTTCATATGTGTTTTATTTGTTTGAATAAAACCAGGGCCTAGGATTGGTGCTGACTTACATGGGTACTACAGATATTAACTATTCAGGAAAATTCAGACTGGAATCACTTTAAACTTTGTAGTGAACGTGAATCTCAAACTACACACACTTTTCATTTCCATAAACAATAGTATTGGTATTAAATAAATATCTGATTTCCTCAGTTTTAAAGATTGTTTTCCTTTCAAATAAAGTAAGTAAGTACATGTTATTTTCCATAGTTTGTATTCCCAAATAAGTAAACTAAACTATGTCTGGGTACTTAATACCAATAATCCTTGAAGAGCAACCAGGGATGCTGTCTGAAGCTATACCACTGTGGAAGAGAAGGTATGGCATTATAGCTGTCACTTACATGACATGTCAAAGTCATGGGGATAATATATGTTTTCCAAATAAGTAATTGAGATTAAATTTTTTGTCAGATAAAAAATAAGTAAAACATGCCAATAGTGTTGTTTATAAACAGGAACATGTGAATTGTTTCCGAATGATTGTTTCATTTCTATATAAAATAATATGGCCACATAAACAATTATGACAAAAGTAAGGCTTTGTTATTTAGCTTGCCTTCTCTCTCAACCTCCTGCCTATCAAACACAAAGTACACACTCTCGTCTGACCTCTATTTGTACTTTCCGAAAATGTTCTCTAGACCATTATGCCGGTGTCTTACATGTTAAATGGCAAATATAATTGATCAAAGCTGAATTAGCGATAAAGTCTGCGTAGAGTGTCTCTGCTAACAGGTGACATATTAGTGATCCTCACTGTATCAGTGAGAGCATCCAACCAGGTACCTCTAGAAAACTTTTATGGTTGTTTGATACTTAGTGTGAAAGCAATATAGGACATGCAGGTGATATTTTTCTGTATCCTTAAACATTCATAGCAGAACTCCAAAGAGATACATTTCATGAAACATTGAGCAGAAGGAAAGAAAATACTCAAATATTCCACATGCTTTTCATCACCCCACACACACACACACACACTCACAGCATTCGCCTTCAGCTTTCCACTACCCACTGGTGAAAGTCCTCTAAAAATCCGATAACAACTAGACTTTATGAATAGGATATTCATAACTTGGAATTTCAGATTTAACACTCATCTGCCCAGTTCTCTCAAAAATAGAGATACCAATTCAGATACGTGAGCATTTGTTGTAAGAATAATTTGAAGAAGAGAATGGTAGACAAAGTTCCGAAACTGAGTAAGGTCGACGCACAGTTCCTGGAGAAAACAGGCAGATCATTAGTTACAGGTGACTAGGGTCCAGCAAGAGTCATGACCTTTCTCTCAAGAAGCTCTGGAGAAGAATCCACACGTTGCTGTTTTGTAAAAGATTCTCCAAGAAGCAGTTAGGTCTGTGCCATGGAGGTTGACCTCCAGTGGAGACTGCGCAACGGGGGAGCAGTCAGACAAATGCCCCTAAGGGACCCATGTGCTGTGGCAGCTCAAGCATTGGAAAGAATCCTAGAGATAGAAGGCAGCTGAGCTCCAGGGGCAGCTGGTCCCAGGCAATGCAATCAGGGCTCTCTGGTCAGGAAACATCCTAGACACCACAGTGTGGCAAGTCCAGAGGAGCTGACCCAGGGACAAAGTTACCTGCCACAGTGGACAAGAGTACTCACTCCAGACGCACCCCCCCCCCCCCCCAGCCCTTCCGTTTGTCCCTTACCTTGGTTGGAGACATGACTGCAGTCGCCTGTCCAAGCTGTCAGCAGGGGCAAGAAGAAACCAAATTGCAAAAGAAATTCCCGGACTTCGCAGCCCCCCATGGCTCGCGCTGGCTCTCTTCTCCCCCTTAAAAAGAAGTGGCAGTCGCGCAGCCAGGTGTTCCTGGCAGGGTGGGGGTCCTGGCCCAAGCTCTCTTCTTCTTCCTCCTCCTCTTCCTCCTCCACCCGGCCCGCAGGGGAAGTCCCGGGGCGCCCCCCGCGTGAGGCCCCGTGAGCAGGGCACGAGGGTCCAGGCTGTCCAGGTGCAGGAGCAGCTGCTTCGGAGGAGGATGCTGCCTGCGCCGCCGCCGGGGAGCTCCTGGCGGCTGGAGGCGAGGGGAATTGCATCCACCGCCGTGTCCCGCTCGAGCGAGGACTATTCACTTGGGCCCCAGAGAGCGCGCGCGCAAGAGCGAGCTCAGGCTGTAGTTTGGGGGAGGGGAAGGAGGACGGGGCGGGGGGTGGGGGGGAAGGTGCCTGAAGGAGGGTACTGGGGGTTGGTAGGGATGTCCAGTTGGGTAGTGAAGGTGCAGTTCTGGGGACCCTAGCGTTTCTCTTGACCCAAGTTGGCACTTGCAGAGCCCAGAGCAGAGGGGGTACAGCAGACAGCAAGGCTAGCCTGGGCGACCAGAACTTTCCCCTGGCTGGTGTCTGGGGAACCAGGCGAATGAGGCTCTGCGGGGGTCTCAAATGGTCCCAGGAGGCAGCGGACCAAGCGCTCAGCCTCTTGACTGAGTGACCTGGTCTAAGTGGCGATTCCTGGGCACCACAGATTAGGTGGCATCTGCGCCTCCCCCAGGCCGTGGCAGCGGCTTACTTACTGGGTATCACTGAAGCTACCTTAGTCCCCCAATCACTTGCGTCCCCCCTCCCCCATGTAGTGATAGACTGTCCCCTCTGGACACCACCTTCCCTTTCGCCACATTTCTCCCGATGCAAGGGGTGAGGGTTGCAGGTCAGCGCCCTGGGCACAGCTTGGTGATGGTGGCGGTCAGCTCTGAAGTGTCTGAGTGCCAGCCTTCCAAACTTGGCCACCAGAGCGAACCAGCAAGCTCTCTGGCCACCTCTCCTCTTCCAAGTCCTTGGAAAGCATAGGGATGGAAGAAGCGATAGAGAGGAGCCACTGCAGGCTGGAAGTCGACTGGTGCCTGGCACCTTGGCTCGCCTAGGTCTTCGCGTCGGCATACGGTGGTGACTTCGCCAGGGAGGTCACCAGCATCATCATGGCAGCTTTGGTGCCCGGCTTCCGAAGGGCCTCGACAGCCCGGTGTTCGGCGGCGGCGGGCTACGCGCGGAGAGCAGCCCAAGGGCTCAGTTCTGCGTGGCCAAGTCCAAGGCAGCGCGCGCGCGGCGATTGGTGCGCTCTCCTCGAGAGACGGCCCTTCTCCGCACCCACTGCCTCCCAGGTCGGGGCGCTTCTAAGCTGGTGCACCGGCTACTTGGTGGGACCCCACCCTGGGCCGAAGAACAGGACTAGCTGATGAGAAGAGGTGTTGCCACCTGCAGTCTCCGATCTGCCTGCCGAGACCGGTGCACGGAGGGCAGGGCCCTAGAGCGCTGCTGAGCTCGGTGGAGCCCCGCGATCTGGCAGCAGCTGTGGCACGGGTGCCGCCAATTCGGCGCTAGAGGGGGTTAGTAGACAACAAAAATCTACTCACTGCTCGCAGGTGGAAGAGCAGGCTAAACCTGCGAACAAGCAGAAGGGTGGTTTCAGGGTAAACTTACAGTGTCTGTTGGGTCTCACTGGCGTTGTCATTTCTGTAATGCATTCGTTAATGTGATTATCGTTTTCTTTATTGAAGGCACGCAGATTGTCAGTCTTGAGTGAGGATTTAAAAAAAAAAAAAACCCATCTCCAAAGGCACTAGGAAGGGGTTATTTGAAGGTTTATTGACGGCACTGGAGAAAAGTGAAGCGAATTTCTATAGCATAGAAAGGATATTTTCAAAGTGGGCGGAAGGTTCAGGTGGGGGAAAGGTTGTGTCAGGAACGTTAAAGGAGTAGGTGTAATAAGAGGTTTTTACCAGAGATTCTGGAAATGAAGCAGGGTTTCCAGGCAATTCGATACAGCTCAGTGTTGTTTGTGGTTCGCATCCCAGTTAAGGGATTGCAGTCCATGTCTTACAGTCAATCAAAGGGGAAAAAAAGGAGCAAGGGACGCCCAGAATCTAAAAGCTGCTCTCATGGAGAGAAATGTGTGATGAAGCTTTCTAATTGGTGGCTACTTTCACAGTCATTATGAATTCATACACAGCTTTTCAAAGATGTCCACGCCAATTTAAATGTATGCAAATCACATCTACGAAGATGGAGTTCGTATATTAGTGTTTCCAGTAGTGAAATCTGATTTTGCTACTCATTTTACCAGTATTACTGATATTGACTAATGACACAGGCATTTGCAAATTCAATTTAGTTTACTAACTCAGGTGTAAAATAAAAATCTACGTGGCTACACCACAAGACATTCTGTCTAAGTAGTCTTTCCAGAGTGCTTAATGACTACGCTGGTGGTTTGATTATATATAATAATTCCTTTTTCCCTATATTCTCAGTGGAAAATAATTAACATAATTTCAGCATCACATTTATAAATGAGCATTTAAACTCCAGTTTTAATGTTTTATTTGATCTTAAATTTGAAACAATTCATTATAAACAATGAAACAGTCAGAAGCTGTACTTAAAATCATATTAGAAGGGAATGATTCTAATGGAAAGAAAATGAAGGGAATAACAAACGGAAACAAAGCTGTGGGTCATTTCCCAAGACTCATGCTCAATTTCACAGCAGAATACGATGTCTGAAACAAACTTCAAAGTAGCTCTAACACTTGGTTATAGCGATCTTCCCTCTTACTGTACCAACCATTTATCCCCTCTTCACTATTTGTTTAAATAAGCCAAATCAGAGCTTTACATAACATGGACCACCTATTCAGATGTCTTACTGATTGTGACTTTAAAAAAAATTAGTGACAAGATTTTTCCCTATATTAAAACATGTGTCATAAGTTTAGAAACACTTTGATACTGTTTCTTGCATTTTTAGAAGATAAGGAAATATTAGTTTTAAAAAACCCAACAATGAATTAAATTATCATGACCATTGATTATAGATAGTCTCACATACAGTATTCAGGTAGAAAAGTAAGTTAATCCATGAGTTGGGTTACGGTTATTAATTCCTAAATTTTATAATAACATTAATTAATAAAACAATTTGGCCATATATATTCACACAAAGTATACATACATATATACATTCTAATTTTTTGTCATATATTCATTCACTTCACTCACAGAAGAGAGTTAAGTGCAAACTATTTTGTATGAATAAAACTAATTTGCTGTATAAGTTTGCCTTGGAAAACTCAGCCCTAAACTAAATGGGATGTCTCCATCAAATGCTTCCCCTAGAGTGGGGAGGGGGGTTCAGAGAATCCTGTGGAAGAGAAGGCAGAGTGTAAGAGCCAAAGGGGATAGGGGACACTAAGACCAAGGCCCTGTCAATCACCATGAGCAAAGCTCATGTGAACTCATAGACACTGAGGCAGCATGCACAGGATCTTCAGAGGCCTGCACCAGGTCCTCTGCATATATATGTGTGTGTGTGTGTGTGTGTGTGTGTGTGTGTGTGTGTGTGTGTGTGTGTGTGTGTGTATGTATATAATGTATATAATGTCTTCAAGCTTAATGTTTTTATGAGATCCCTGAGTGTGAAAACAAGTAGGTCTCTGATTTTTGTGCCTATTCCTGGATTCTTTTCCTTCTGTTTGTTTGCTTTATCTATCTTTGATGTGGTGATTTTTGTTTTAGCTTATATTTTATTTTAGTATTATCCCTTAGAAGCCTGTTTTCTAATGAGAGATAAAAAGGGGTTGGATCCAAATGGGAGGGGAGGTGGGAAGGAACAGGGAGGAGTAGAGGAAGGGGAGACCATAATCAGAATATATTATGTGAGAAAAAAGTATATTTTCAATAAAAGAAAAGAAATAATAACTAGAAAAAATAAAATAAAGTACAGGCATGGGAATCATATGTGAACTAGATGCAACTGCTGAGCAGAGACACACTTCCGTTTCGGTTTTTCAGCAGTGTTGTCATATTTGCTGACATGTGACAGTTTCAAAATTATAAGCCACTCAAAGAACCAGATGCAATATTCATGTAGATTTATCTGCTCTTGTCTATTTGAATCATACCCATATTCATAAAGGCATTCATGTCCCATTTTTCAGAGCTATATTCTTCAGAATTCTTTTGTATTCTTTCAGAACATTGTTCTTCAAGATATATGTGATCTGATTTCAGGTGAGAAATGATTAAATTTTTATTAAGTGAAAGATATATGACACAAAAAAATCCAACCCAACTACTCACTTATAGTAGGAAAAAATCATTATTAAATGCTATTTGCTTTGTAAAATGATGAAGAGAGTGGATATTTAACCTGCAATTAATTCCTTTGAGGAAAAACAAGAAGGATTATATTGTTTAATACTCAGCATGTTTCAAGGATGGAGACAGTCTCAAGTATATTATTCTGGCAGAAGAGTAAATTAATCCATTTACAGCAGTAATTTGCATTCTCTAAGGTCAAGAAAGAAGAAAAACAAATAAAGAGCTCTGATCCTCAAAGATGTCATGAAACATCAGGTCTTAAAGGATTAAGTTTGCAACTCAGATGTACACAACTGCATGAGCCTTTTTACTGATACCAAAGTCAGTGACCTGCTATGGACAACAATATTTTCATGCCATCAACTTTAATATCTGAGTTAAGGAAAAGATTGACTTCTATATGATTTAGCATACAAAAAGCATAAGCAAAATTCAATAGCTAAAGTAAAGATATCTACAAATTCAAATATATATAGCTAGTCTGAGGTTCTTTGCTTAGAAATTGAGTACCTCTTTTCAGTGATCAAAGAACTTCCCTATTTTTTTTGGACTGGATAAAATCATTACATTTAATATTAAGCCCAAATATATTTCTTGTTGTTTTATGTATTTCAAGGCATGATACAAAATAAATCAGGATTAAATAAATGTAGCATAGTCTTGGATAATGAATATGCACTAATATAAATCAACTTAATAGTTGTGGTTTCTTGCTTTATTAACTTGGAAATTTTTATATTTAACTATAGAAATTTAATTTTAACTGCACATACTTTGAACCTTATTATGTTTCTAATACTATGAAATTTAACCCTGAATTATAAATGGATCTCTTGCGAGCTTTTGTTCTTAGGGTGAGCAAAGGTCACTCTTATGATGGCTCCAGATAGATAGAAGTATATAGTATGTATTATGTATATATAGTACTTTATAATGTTCTATGGACTAAATTGTTAGTAGCCAAAGTGTTTTAATAATCATTGAAAAATAGAACAGTGGCACTCAAATATATTTTTTTGCTAATAGATATGTAGGTAGAAATATTGAATTATTCTAAAAAAATCTATGAAGATCAAATTTTACCAAATAGCATAATTGCTATTTAAGCACATATAAAATCTGGGTGTAATGGCTCACCCTGTAATTACAGAATTTCCTAGGCTGAGGTGGGATCATTGCTTATTTAAGGATTAGTCCATGCTAAATAACGAGTTATAGGCTAGAGCTGACCTGTGTGTGGAGTGAGGCCCTGTCTCAAAATAAACACATCATCATTTAAAAATTTTGTTTTTGTGGAGATGCTTTTGAAAATATGCAGTGCCCTAGGTAAAATCATATATGAGTGCAAAGTTAGGCAGTAATATGAAGAACCATATTTGTCAAATGAGTGACAATCATTCTACAAAACTTATTATTTCATAGTTATGAGTGAGTATCTACAGATACTTACATCCCATGAAAACAATGTAATAGACAGAGGTAAAGATTCACAATATGCTTAGAGTAATATGAAATTCTTCACATAAAATTCACATATTAGGCACATTAAATTGTCAATGGCATGCTGTATCTCATATGGATTATAACACTGTGACTAAGACTTCCTTTTCAGCTTTCCAAACTTAATGTACAAGAAAGCATGCAGAGGCTGAAAAGTACAAATATAAACCCTGATGACAAAAAATCTGAAACACTTCCTTACAAGAACTTTGGATACAAAGTCCTGCTTTTCGGACACATCTAGAGATCACTTCTCTTTATCTACTGCTTTGTCTGCCCTGGGTTCATTATAACAAAAACATGGTTTGCATTATTTATACCAAAGTACCTGAAATGTACATTTGATAACTGTTATCAAAATGATAATATTTCTAATAAACTTATGTTTATGTAATTGTTCTTGTAAAATCTAGTTTTATTATTTTCTGGGGTAGTGCACAGAGCTTCTCAATGTAGGAAGATCACAAAACAAAGCAAAACACATTTTTATTAAATTATGTTTGAATACTTGAATGCAAAACTAAGAGCAGCATCCCTGCTATATTTTTTACAATGAAAGTAAATCACGTGTATTTAACTGTACAAATATTTATTTAAATTTAGCTTTGCTTTTTCCATCAATTGTTGCCTGTTTGACATTTAGAAAATGCTAGTTAATGATATTTATTTTTATTCAATGAAGACAAAGTTGTTTTGACACAGCTGGCCATTCTGGAGCATGAAAGATAAACTAAATGGCTTGTTACCTATAAGATGGAATAAATTTACATGTTATCACTTAAAAATTTCTCCATAATTTATTCAAATTATTTTGGGGATAGC